CGATTCCACCTTCGTGGAGCAAGTTTGCATATTATATATATCGGTAGCTGAGCCAAGGAAGCTTGTAATTTCTCGTTACAAGACACAATGGCGACCCCAGAAACAGAATTGGAAGATTTATTATACGGTAAAACCTTTACTGGAACGGTCTACCATCGGGGCAGTCCATTATTCAGAACGTTCTATTATTCGAACACAGCATGGCCTTGTATAATATACCTTCTCCTATCGAAACATTCTTCTATAACGGTTACAACTAATTCCGATTGTTAAGCGTACAGAAAAACCAGCCAAGAGCTCTCCGCGGCCTGCGGAAAGTAAATTTAATAAAAAGTGAACGTACTAACTCGCGTGTGTTCCAAGTAACCGATATAACGAAAACAACCAATATTTTTCTAAGCTCCCAGAGCCTCTATAATCGTCTACGTCCCTCCGTTTTGGGATCCGCTACAGAATTACGCAACAGTCTCCCGTTAAAGGTGCAACCGTTTTTTTTTATTCGGCGGATCGTAGCACCTTTAGCGGTGCAACGAGATGACGCGAGGAGGAAGCAGAATCCTTGTGTTACAGATTCCCTTCCGGTTGTGCAACAGGCGCCCGGTTACACCCCGTCCCTTCCCCCTATCCCTCTCCCTCCACAAAGGATCTCCAGTTTTCTGGGAGCTTTTTTAATAGGTCCGATCCGAGAGAGGGGATAAAAAAAAAGAAAAAGAAGAAAAAAAACGAGAGCAGAACGGGCGCAGCTTGTCGACGGGTCGACAAACGCCGAGAGTTTTTCGGTCCCTCGAGTGTCCATGCACGGGGGCAGAGAGCGAGGGGGAGGGGGGGACACAAATGCAGGAAGTTACGCATCCTGTGCGATCGGACCGATCGATCTACACGCTGGCAGGATCGCGCTTACGGGCTTTATTCGATCGATCCTGGATGCAGAAAACGGTGAAAAACGACGGGCCATTGGTCTCCTAATACTTTTATTTCGGTCCGGTTGAACGCACGTTGACTGACAAGAGGAAACGAACGTAATTTCTTTATATAGAATTATACGCTGATTATTAATTATGGGTTGAGCTAAATATTTATCGCAGCGTCTCTCAAACTGCGATCCTCTATAGTTTGATATGTAATAATTAAATTTAATATTATTATTTGAATAAAATTCTGCTCGTTCCCGTCGCGAAACTGGATAATCGCGAGTGGCTCGAAACCCGCGGTCTTGTTTCGAGACGATTATTATATGGGAAATCTGTTGCGAGAGGCGAGTCCCGCGAGCTGGGACTGTTCAGCAACACTTTGTTAGCGGGTTGCACAACGAAGATCGTAAATCTGTTAAATGGGAAACGAGGAAGACCGCGTTCCGCCGCGATGGACCGTGAGAATGCATCGGCCCGAAAAAATCCACGGGGTCGCTTCCTACGACGATTCGGGGGCACAAACGGGCCCGAAACGAACGGGAGGAGGTTTCTGGAAAAAGGGTTGCGTCTGTGCTTCTCCCTTCCACCGGGTGGAACCGGTCTTTTCTGTCAGAATTCATTAAAACGCGCGAGAAATGTAGGCGATCGTCGATGTGCTTCCAAATAACCAAACGACTGGCTCATGCGGTAATTTCGTGGAGCAAATTGCGTGAAAAATGTATCAGTGCACCGTGGTAATTAACGATATAAACGTAGAAACAGGATGGGCATTGAAATTGAAAACGTGGAATGAAATTCTTTTATAAATTGTTTTGTTCCATTCTGTTTCATTCGGTTCATTATCTGCAACAAGAAATTCGTGTAATGAGGCCTCTTTAATATCTACTATTTTTTGAAAGAATTTATTATTCAATAGCATAAAAATTGGCTACTTTACGCGTTGCGTTAATGAACAATATGAGAAATGAAAAATACTTTTATACAAGTGATTCGTGGGAAGACGATGTTTGAGAAACACTGGCGCGGTGACTCTATCAAGAAACAGCTACTCTTTGTCGGCAAGTTGTGCGACGTGACCGTGTAAAAATATTAATAAAAAAATTTTGCACGTATTTATCAGATCAGCTCGCGACCAGTTCGGAATCAACGAATCGAATTTAGTCCACGGAAGCATTCAAATTCCGTGCATCGATCGCGCTTATTCGCGCATTCAAATCTCCAGCCTCGTTTTCGCCTGGCTAATGACCCACAGCTGTTTTAATTCGCGTTTCTTTTTCGACTGTAATACGATTTCACGTGTCTATTTAATTTAGATAGATAGTTTGCCTCGCTACCAAACATTTTGTCGTGGATTTTTTTATAATTTGGAATCACTTTTACTCTATAAAAAATAATTATATATTCTTCTTTTCCCTATTTAGTATTTTGCGTATATCCTGAGGTGGATTTTCAAATGGTAATCGAGGTTAATGGATATTATAGCGTGCAGAAGTTAAATAGTACAATTGTTAAAAGAATTCTAGTCTGTTGATTCTTGAAAACGTTTGGTCCCTTTAATCCACGCAACGGTAGCAGAGAATCCTTCCGGCGTTCCCCGGCAGGCAGGCGAGTTTGTGCCAGTAGGAAAGGAAATCCTGCGGTCAAGTGGTCAAAAGGACTAAGACGTAAAGCGGATTATGTCGATTTTCTTGTAGAACGCGGCGGCTTACGCCACTCTACCGTTGGATGGCCCCCTCGGTGAACCCTTTCTGTCCGTTTCGACACTCGTAGAATTACCTGGGCTGCCTTGGCGAGCCATAAACTTTTACTGCGTTTTCTGGTCAGTGCGGTTTTTTCGATCCGTTCAGCGAAGAAAGAAAGGAGAAAGGGTTGTTGTTCGGTGAAAGGGACGTTCGTGTCGGGCGTCGTTAAAGACACACGACGAAAGGGTTGGCCCGACGCAGAGTGCCGCGAAAGGGTCGCGTAAAGCCGGTAAATGGGAGATTACAGCCGTCCCTTTGTCATAATGGAGGCCCGGGGAGCCATTCTCGGGCCTCTTTGGTTGAATTTACTTGCCAGAGGAACATTAAAGTTTATGGAACTACCGGGAATAGAGTTTTTGTCCAACCTTTAATTGATTTTATTTTGATTTAGGGCCATCTACTTTCATCGTGTCATCGTTGGGAACTTGGGAAAGTTTAACAGCGACAATGCACTTTTAATTTTAATTTTATTATTAATTTGTGCTTCGTGTTAACCGATGTAACGTAGATTCACGTACAATATTTTGAGTTAAAGTAGTCGGGATAATACTTGGGAGTCATTAGAAGCAGAGCAGGCGCCATCTTCTGTCGATGATCCTAAGTTGAAGGTTATTTCAAGGAGCCTCGAGCGAGTTACCAGCTACGGAACATACGAGGTGCTAGAAGAAGACACGCCATTTTGATTTCTTTATATCAACCGCGTGGTTACCGACTTCGACCGACTTCCATATTATTTTTGTGCGCTGCATTAACTTCCAAACGGCTAAAATAATTAGTAAAATTGTTACGCTCGTAGACCTTTCTCTTCGATGCAAAAAATTACTCTGGAATCATTATATTGGGTTTCGTAAATGATCGAAGATCAATTCATACAGAAATGAAATATTTTTCTGAAAAGAGCATTTAATGTAAAAAAAAAATTATATTTCTTTGTGTTTCAATTGCAATTGAACAACACAGAAGAGGTATAACCTCTCGTCATCGACGAGCTCTAGAAAATATTGGAAAACAATTCTAGTCTGAATCGATAATGTTGGAATTGATACGGAAATGGTAACGGGGCAGTGCTCCTCAACCTCGTCCGGCTCGTAGCCCCCTTTTTGAGCTCCATTTATCTCTGCCCCCCCTTCGCTTTGGTAGATGATCGTTGGTAGAAATAATAAAATAATTGTTCGTTCTCGACATGTATAATATTGTATAACATGAATATTATGTTGCAATATTGCAATTCTTTGAGACGATTAATAATCTTTTATACTAGATAAAAGATGGGAGAGAGGTAAAATTTTTTTCGATCTTAAATTTTCTCTACTACTTTTTAATTTAGTTTGGTCTCAGCGATTTGGTTTAATATTCTCATAACATTCGAAGCATTGAAACAGTAAATTATTTCTATATTTCAATTCTAATCGAGTATAATTGAACACGTTCGAGGCAAGCTTGCTTACACTGCTGTAAGATGTGTGGCATACTTGGTGGTGCCCACCAAAGATCAACGATCGATACGAAGCTACGGTTCGTTGCTGTTTTCTCATTAAATTCAATAAAATTCAATAAAAAATTACTCTTACTATTTTAAAGTCATGCTCGTGTCCGGTGATTATCTCCAGCAGGCTGAATAGAGGAAACAATTTTCATACGAATAATTCTGTATTTACATATCGTTCGTGAGTCAGTGCATATCGTCGTTAACAACTGGTTCCATCAATAACAGTGCGTTAATAATAAACCTTACATAGGGGATGTGAAAAATTACGTACTTCCATTACACAGATGCGTTTATTAACAAATGCGAGGGAGACAATAAATAATCGTGTCGCGCGAGCAATAAATAAATCGAGTACCGCCGAGGAGACGACAGTGTCATGGCGCTCGTTAACGACCGCCACAAGCTTAGGGTACAGCTTTCGAATCGACTCCTCGACTCGTCGTCAGTCGAGCCAGGTGTCCTCTTCAAACCTAACTAATTTGCTACCTTAATTAATCACCCTTCGACGCGTACACGTGTCGCTGAACGTAGAAACGAAAAGTTCCATTCTCTCGTCGATCTCCAAAAACCAACGTATCCGAAACCTCCATCTTCGCAGGCTAATCTAAAACTCTTTCGATCGTTTCCTCGACGAGTCCACGGAACTTTTCTCCCAGCTTAAGAACGTCCTACAGTCTTCGTTCGATCTCCTGGCCGGAGATCGTCGATCGTGTTTATGGTCCAGTGTTATTTGGCGTGCGTTTCTTTGGTCGTGTCGACGTAGGGCTCCGTCTCTCGATCGTACGATCGATTCGTCGTTAAGAACATGAGTTGATCGGGGATGAACGGGGATCGCCGACACCCTCTTGCAAGGGTGTTCTAGTAGTTCGAGGAGCTGGCCGAGTTGACTGACGACGAGGAGGACGACGAGGACGAGGGCGAGCTGTACGAGCTCGAACCGCTGCCAGGCGAGTAGTAAGAGTAAGCGAGGTTCTGGGCTTCCACACCATTGGTCGGCGTCCAGACGCGGGAATAGGGTCCGTTTCCGTCCCACGTGGCCGCCGGCTCGTAGCCCGACGTGGTCGAGCCCGATGTTGGAGCTCCGTACAGTGGTGCGGCAGCAGGCTCCATCGACATTCCTGCAACACGAGTTTACGTTTTCAAACTATCCCCCAGGTGGAAAATAGCCACCTCGAAAGTCAGAATCTTTTTTCCCTAGCGAATAAGCCTTATGTCACTCGAAAGCGACCAGTCTGCAGCATTTCTATCAGAAATTCGAGACCTTGGAGATGATACAAATTGGGGATGGTTGATTTCTATCGCCAAGAAATAGAAATTACCGATTATTTTGTATGAAAATTTGCTATGAATATTTTTCGCAGAATAGACCATTATGCAAGGCATAAATTATGACGAATGACAGAAAAATAATAATATTAAAATACTATTCGAGAAGACATTGATGTTTCAAATGTGGCAGAGGAGTCTCGAGTATTATAATTATGATTCTGAAGCGTGGGGGTGAGAGTTACGTGAATAACACGTTCAGTTTAAGTCTAAAAGTCAACAGAAGTGATTCTTTGCCAAGAATCTTTTGTAAACACATTTTCTCAAGCAATGGTGGACGTTTAACATCACCATCGAATGAAACAAAATTAGATACCCCAAATATAAGGAAGACAGTCTACGTTCACGATCAAAGAAGAAAATAAGTTTCCAAAACAGTACGTACCCATGGGCATCATCATTCCACCCTTCTTCAAGAACTGCACGGCGATGAATCCAACGACGAGTAGGATAGCGAGTTTCGAGAGCACCAAAGCCTTCATTGCCTTCAGACCGACGATGGCCATCAAGATGGGCATCAGCGCCTTCATCTTCAACTTCAACAACAACAAGAACGGCAACAGCAGCTTCTTCTTCAAGATTCCACGAGCCTGGCTGGTAGCAACTTCGTTTTCCTTGAACTCCACGTCCAGATCCGCCAAGCTCCTGCTGGGTCTGTACTTCAAGCTGGCGTCCACGAAGGGCAGATCGACGCCGTAATTGAATCTCTTCAAATACTTGAAGGTCCTCGCCACGATGGCCTCATCCACGGTGTCCAGAGACCTGGCCTCCGTGGTGGTTCCCAGTTTCTCGTCCAGGTATCCAAGGACCTCGTGCTTCAAACAGGACGTCCATGATTCCGCGGCGATGCACTCGTTCAGGGACTTGGACAGGAAGTCCTGGCTGGCCATCGAGCATCCCGCCAACAGGATCACGGCTATCATCGGCACAGACGTAAACATCATCTCGTGTATCCCTTTATCGAGCTTCTGGAACTTCTCCTAACCCTCGCGATTGATACGATCGCGAAAACGACGTGGAAACCGATCGATTCTACCCGTTGCGTGCGCGAGCGAGCGATCGACGATCGAACTGCGACTGACGGAGGAGTGGCCCGCCCCTTTTATTTAATTTGCCCCCCGCGAATCTATGTTATTCGGTCGCGCATGCCGGGAATCGGCGATCGAAGGAAAATTATTCAAATTTCACTGGCACATAGAGCCACGCGGCCCTCCACCTTCCCTCGCGCGTCGCCTCCCCCTCCCGTTTTTTCTTGCCGACGCACGTGCACGCGCTTGGACGCGTGTAGAAGCGTGTACGTACGCGGAACGATTGGACGCGCGCGTCGCGTACGAGGTACACGATGGCATGCGACGCCCGACGCCGCGCCGCGCCGCGGTGAAACGGAACTCGCCCCGCGTTCGGAGTCCCTGCTCTTACTTGGCGTTCGTTCTAACGCCAAGCTATTGTGCCGTATGCCTTCTTAGACGGACCAGTTTGGAGAACGGATAACCGTTCTTGTTGTACGGTGCCCGATCCAGACAACGGTAACGCGTATTTAGACGTCTCGAGATTTTCGTGGACGTCGAACGTTGGGGAAGTTTCGCGATTTCAACGAAATTTAATCCTCCAGTTTGATAAATCAAATGAGATAGACAAAGAGCTAATATAGGCGTCGTTTACAGTTTTAATTGTTTCGTCCAAACGCTCAGAAATTAAATGGGATAGATGAAGGGTTTCATCGAATAATCTAACAGGGAAATCAGAAAAATATAACTAAAATGATAATTATATTTTTATTATAGAAATACTTATTTTCTATTCTGTAGGAAAAGATACATAAAAGTTGATGAAATTGTGCAAGATTTGGGTACGATATTTTCTTATGGGAACATCTACAGTAACTCTAGAAGTCAATTATTATTTAAATCAGAAATTAAATTCCTTTTAAATTGTTTGAAAACTAAAATGCAGTTGATGTTTCGTAACAGTTCTTCGTAGGATTCCCTAGTCATCGATTCTCTAGTCATTGTTCCATTGATGTGGCATTGTGAGGTCACTGGCGATCATGAATGAATCGAACAAAGGAAAGTAAATTTTTGTAGACTTCCCTCTCCTCGTAGTTCAAGTTTCACGAAATCCCACGGCGAGGTAGAAATGTTGCAATAATTTCTAATTTCACCGTGGTGAGAAAGTATCACAACAATTGGACTTGTGAAATTTAAAATGCATAATTTAGTGCAGCCTTTCCCAACCTTTTTTTGGCTCGTGACCCGTTGCTGTCACAACTCTCGACAACCTAAATTATTTCAGATCGGTTTGAATTTTGTAAAGAAAGCAGCAATGGTCTCTGACAGCTTTAGAAATATGTCTGACAAGGAAGTCGATAATTGCTCGAACTTCCAGAACGAAAGAAGTTGCGCGTCTCATTATTTATGACCCGATTTCTTCCTGGTTTCATGCACCATTTTTCGGTCTATTGTCGAACACGCATAATTACAGAAACTGTCACAAACCTGCAAGGGACGTTTGCATAAGCGACACTTTCGAGTTACTCAAACTCTGGAAAATCTATTACTTTCTTCATACCAAACACGTACGAGTATCTAGGAGATATAACGTATGTGCTTCGCGAGTAAATCGTGCTTATAATTCATAAGGAGCTCACGGAAAAAGGAAAGTAATTTAGGGGAAGCGTGGATCGCAAGAAGGTCACGGCGAAGACGAAACTGGATTTCCATTTTACAACGAGCTGCATAAAACAAAAGCGGTATTTCCGGGCAGCTCGTGGCAGCCGCGTCTGATCATTATCGGGCATAATCTCCTTGCAGAACCGGCTTACGTGGATCTAGAACTAGACTGTGGACAATTTCGCTTCTTGGATTTCTTATAATTAATCGGCCGGGGAGGGTAGATTTTCTCCATTAAGGCAGAAGACCAGCTACGTTTAATATTATCGGTTTATTCGGTTAAATAGTGAAATAATGTGCAGGCTTAACGCGGTACATGTGTTCAAAGAGCGTACGAGTCGCGATAAGCCCATTCGTGCGTGACAGTTTTACGAACTGAACTTTATCAAATAAGAGTACATTTCAGATAAACGCAGTTATTTTCTCAATCCCAGAGTTCCTTATATTAACGAGGAAATGAACGTTCTGATTTATTCAGAATTAGCGTCTTATTACTGCTATTAACTCCGTGTACCCGTTTCAATTTTGTATTATTTATTATATGTGAATATAGTAGCACGGAAGCAATTATTAAAATTGTGAACAAACATTCTTAATTAAATCTTTCAGCGAATTCAGAATTTTCGATTAATCGATATAATTGATCTGATACAGCTTCAAGTTTATCCAGTTTATCGATCAGCTTAAACAAGAATCCACTTCTGAAGAACTGTAGGGATATAAATAATTTTTGTACGTAATAATATTATAAATGATACAGTAATAATATTCTTGATCTCCTGGTTGAGGTTTTGTTGACTATAATATTTTATTTGGACATTATTTCTATTTTCATGAAACTAACCTACACCTAACAGCCTGGATACTAACTAGCTAATATTAACTTTCTATAGCATTCAACGTGTCAAACATCCCTCCGAATATTAAATACTAAATACTGAAAATTAACTTTCTATTTTGCCCAGCTTTCGAAGAGCCTCTGAATATTAAATACTGGATAGCGAATATTAAATTTCAATCTTGCACACATTCCAAAGCACTAAATACCCCTCAGAATATTAAATACCAAATGTCTCGTACAGTTTTCAAAGAATCGAACCTTCCCCCGGAATATTAAATACCACATACTAACTATTAAATTCCAATCTTGCTTCCCAAGTACCGAAATACCCCTTTGAATACTAAATTCTTACATTTTATAGCTTCCAAAGTACCCGGAATGCCCATCTGAATACTAAACGCTAAATACTGTTAACGCAGGAGATTCGAGTCCCGGATTTTCTAATTATTTTTTTCCCCCCTCGATCGTTGGAGGTGGACGAAACGCGTGTCACGTAAATTGCAAATAATAATTTATTAAATAAAGGGTACAGAGTAGAGGTGGAAGACAGGTATTTTACAAAAGTCGCGACAGCAGAGTGAACGCACGGGGAACGGTTTACGACTGCGCGTGTGCGGAATACGCAAGATCCTGCGCGTACTGGGACGAGGGCTGCTCGACATCCTGGAAGGACCTGTACTGGGCAGCCTGGTATTCCCAGGGTCCGTGAGCCGCGAGCGGAGCAGCGTGGCCGTCGGCCGCGATCTTCTTGCACAGCTGGAAGATGGCCATACCGACCGCGACGATGAAGCTGAAGAAGGACAATTGAAGGGCGTTCCAGGCCTTCAGACCGAGGACACCGATGGCCAGAGGGATCAGAGTCATCGCCTTCAGCAGGACGAACACCAGGATGGGGATGACGACCTTCTTCAACTTGGACTTTCGCGCCTCCTCGACGGCACGACCCTGGCCGAACTTCAGGTCGAAGGTGAGCTGATCGTCGTCGATGTTCCTGGCGCTCACCTTCACCGATGAGTCCAACGGCAGCTTGAAGGTCACGTCGTGAGAGGACAGGTAGCTTTCCACGTTCTCCAGAAGGGACGCCTCGCCGCGGGCGGACACCTCCTCCACCGGGTAAGAGTTGCGGGTCACTTCCACCGTCTCCGAAACCTGTACAAAGGCGAAAGTTTCTAAAACGGTAGAACAACGTGACGAAATTATAGCTGAAATTGCGCTGAATTAGGAAAGATTCGTTACGAGTGCAGTAGTGTCCGGTAAAAGACCGAATTTCCACCCTGTGTTCAAGCAACGACGTATAGATCTGCGTTAGATCTCAGGTGACCAGCTAGAAAATGTCCATTCAAGCACCGTCGTTAGATTTCATGAATCCATCATGGCTTCACTTTACCTTCCACCATTTTGTAGAAGTACTACAAAGTTTTCGTGTTGGTAATCCTTGCTAGCCACTGACGTTTCAGCTGGAAATTTTCTAGATGGTCACCGTGCTGGAAAGAACGAAGTATGATGTAGTTAGACAGGCAGTGGGTCTCCTGGTTGGTGCTACCCCGCTTTCTAGCGAATCAGTGTAGTTTCGATACTCGAGTAGGGGCACAATTAAGTTTCTTCCCCAAGGAATTCACTCATTAGTTCGAGACAAAAGTTGCTACCCCGCTTTCGAGCGAATAAGCGAGTAACCTGGTGTCACTTAAAAGCGAACAGTCTGGAGCGTTCCCAGGCGCGTGTATCGTTCCTCGAGCGCGACTTTTAGCCAAACGGTGAGCTAGCACTTGCCTTGAAGCTGTCTTTGCGGAAGATCTGGTCGAGCAGATTCAAGACCTTGAACTTCATGCAGGAGACCTCGTCGTTCTTCTGCGCGCATTCGATCTTGGTCTGGTCCACCATCTGGTCCATGCTGCTGCCCTTCCACAGGTCGTTTTTCGCTGGCTGGGCGGCCGTCATGGCCACCAGAACGCAGAGGACGATGAACTTCATGGTTTCCCGGGGAAGTGATAGACGTCGAGTCGCGTATACCCTGAGGATCGGATACTGTGGATTGTCTGGAAACGACGATGGTGCCGCGACTGATGCCGATGGGTTGGGCATCGGGCTATTTATACGGAGCCACCGTAGGTCGTCGGGACGTCGTGCGTTCATCGCGTAGCGGAGCACCCGAACGCCCCCACTTCCGTTTCGCCACGAATTTTCTTTTCGTTCAGTATGGTGTTCGATTATCGAGGCCTCGCCGCGATCGTGACGGGACTATGGGATCGACGGCGATAGAAAGGCTTTCTGCGACACACGAACGATGTCGGCCGATCCGATGTCGGCTGCGCGTCGCGTGCCCCGAACGCGAAACGCGATCATCTTTCGATATTAACCACCGCTTTGCTTTCTATCGGTACCAGGCCCGCTTCAGCTCTTCCAGTCAAAAATTTTCAACAAATTAACTTCGTTTCGTTTCATTTCGTTTGAGTAAAAGGCATCGAAAAGCCTTTAACATCGGATTTGTAGAGGTTTGAATACGTCTGCCACTCACAGTCGAGTGACACAAGAAACTTTGCATTTCTCTCGAAACCTTATTTTACACCTGACATGATATCTCAAAATCTAGTATTATTATTGACTTGGAGGAAGCCTTCCACAAGCATGTCTCTATTGCCTGAATTAGGGATTTCGATAAATATTGATTTATTTCTTCTTAATATAGATTGAAGTACTCCCTTAACCCCTTCTGTCCTAACGATTAAGTCCTTCCTTATGACTCTATTTAATATTATTCATGGCGGGCTGCTAATGTTTGCATTAACACGTTCGCTGCCACGCGTATTTTGGTGGCTGGCATTCGATGGCACATGCAGAGCACATTAAAGCGATTTAACAGTTACATATTTACTTGTTCAATGTGAAATATTTCTCCAATTCGAACTGTAAGTGTCATTCTGCGAGTACCGTTAGGGTTCACTTCCTGATCACTCAAGAACACGAATTAAAAATTTTACATTGAAACGATTTGAATCGCAATATAAAATACTATGAAACTCTTGTTTCTAAGTATATATAAATGTTTTCAAAATATTGGAATGTTATTGTCAAGAAAAACCAGGGGGGGTGGAAAAAATAAACGAATCTTTTATCATCTAAATCTTTGATTTTTGTTTCACAGTCTAGGATGCCTTCAGGATCTGGGTTCCTTCCGTGTTGGGAAAGGGGGTTAGAATTATGTGTATCTATTTTTGAAACGTTCTTCGATCGACCTGGATCGGGTGCCTTAATAAAACAATCGGATCACGCAATAAACCGGGCGAAACTTTCGAATATTCGCCGCGCTATCTTACAGCATCGTCCCGCGACGGTTAGGCGGAAGTCGCGCACTTCGAGTAAGAGTAGAAGACCCTTCATCCTTGGCACCAATGGCACCGTAACATTGGCATTGAATCGATCGTTCATTCGCGCCACGAACACGACACTTTCCACACGTTTGCTCCGTTAGTGCCTGCACACTCCCCACCCCTTCAAGATCCCAGTGATATTCACCCTGCGCGGCGAAGACGTCAATTGGGTTCCCATTACCAACGCACGTGTTAATTATACCTAATTAAACTTTAGTTCGTATGGGTCAACTCATCATATTGAAGTATAAAATATTTCACTTCTTTCTTTTCTCTGACAGGAAGCGTTTGTGCCACCTCTAAAACTGAAACCACGTGAATCAGTTCACTCTAAATTATGGAGTTAATAGAGTTTTATTTAAGCACCGATGTTCATCAACAATACAAGAAAAAGTGAAAGGACTTACGAATGAGCTCCAAGCACTGCGCCATTTAAATACAAACACTGACAACGACAGACCTAGTTCATGAGATCTAACCTATATTCGAGTGACACGTTGCCTATTGATATTCAATAAATATAGGGTGTATCTTTACCACTTTAAATAGCTCTTAAATCAACTATTGTATACTCGAGTTATCAAGAAAAAATTTTAATATTAAAAAAGTTTCAAGAAACAATAGCTCAGCTCAAAGTATCATCATCCTCTAATCACCCATATAAATATGTTATTCTTCATACGTGCTTGATTAATAAAAAAAATTGAATATGGCGTTGATAACTATGTAAAGAAGCATCGTGCATCGCCCCCAACGCGATGCAATACTCGAGTGAAAAATTTTTGCATACAATAGATGATTCAAGAGTCGCGTTCAAGGTGGTAGAATTACGCGATCGACCCTGTATATCCCGAACGCAGATAATTCCACCCTGCCGCGACTCCGGTCAAGCCGTGCGTGGTCGTCGGATCCACCGAGATCGTGAGATTTCTTCGATCGCATCAGGAATGCTCGTTGCGTGCGAGTTTCACGTGCGAGAATGCGCGCGTGGGGTTGCGAGGAGACACTTTTGTCCGCTCTGCCCGACTTCCTGCCGCCCGTAACAATGAAGCAAACGGTAATTGGAATTTTGGGTCGAGTTTGCATAAACATTCAGGCCGGGGCAGCCAGTCGATCGATGTCACCGATCGTCGCGACTCCACGGCTCTATTTTCCTCTTCTTTAGAATTTCCCAGTGTTTACGTTCCTCGTTGTCTATGATCCAGCAGATTTCCGCGCGGAAGTCTACGCATAAACTCCGGTACGTGATCCTTCGTGCCTGACTCATAGCGTCAGCTCTACGAACAACCACGATCGCGAACAAATTCGATCGAGGAATCGAGGGAAACTCTCGGACAACCTACAAAAGCAAGACTTGTACTTTCACTGCTTCGCGATTCCAAACAACGCGGCTCCCGGTCCCGATTCCGCCCCCGCACGCTAGATTTCCAATTTACGACGACTTTCTTCGATTTTCCAAACGAGTCCCCTGGATCCTCGTCGCGCGAGTGAAAAGGAAAGTGATCGAGCGTTTTCTGGTAGGGTTTCAGTGACAGAGACGAAGGTTTCATGAGACCATGTAAAGAATTTTATTATAAATAAGACAGAGTCGCGCGAATAAATATTAAATAGAATGATCTAGGGGCGAGGGTCGTTTTGTACGCGTCAGCCTACTTCCTGTAGGCTCTGTAGGGTCCATGGGGCGCCGTGTCCCAGTGAGGGGGATGCTCCACTGGCGGGTGACCATAATGGACGACCTCGTAGGCGACCTTCGGCTTGGTCAGCTTGAAGATCATCATAGCTCCGCTCAGAACCATGGACAGGAGACCCAGCGTTAAAGCTTTCCACGTCTTCAGGGCGATCAGGGCCAGAGCAAGCGGCACCAAGGCTGTGGCCTTGAACTTCAGACCCAGGAGGAACGGTATCATGACCTTTTTGACGAATCCACGGCCTAAGGAAGTCATTGGAATTATTATCGTTTCTACAACTCTTTAACAATCATCCTCAAATGACTCAAGAATGTGTAAAGTTATAATATAATACAGAAAAGTGATATGGAGCTCGCACTAAACAGTCACGTTAACATTTTTAAGACAAACTTAGACAATTCTGAGTACTTGTCTCCTAGTAAAGAACCAAATCGCTTTAACGTCAAGAAATGAGTAGTATTATTAACCCGAAGAGTCTGAGAATTAATTCTACACAGTTTGCATCGATTAGTGAAATATTCTCACCTTGTCCGTTCGACGAGTCCGAAAGAGGGACGGTCAAGCTTGTGGGCATGTTCTCCACCAAGGATCTCGGTACAATGTTGGATCCGGCGATGGCTTCCGGCAGCTTAGCCTCGAGCTGATGGCTCGACAGGTACGCGTCCAGTTTCTCCAACATCATGGACCTCAGAAGCTCGCTTCTGGCCGGGTCCACGGAGTCGTACTGCGACGGGTAGTACTCCTCGTTGTTATCCTCGGGCAGGTCACGCGACTTCACCACCGCCAAGTCCTCGGTGATGGCGAGTCTGTCTTGCTTCACGGCGTTGCTCAGGTAAGCCAGGACCTTCGGTTTCACGCAGGAGTACATCGACTCGTTGTCTACGCACCTGGAAACGCAACAGTCAATTACCTCTTGACAAAATAATATTGGAAGCAATTTTAAACGTCCAAATCAATCCAAAGTTAGTCTTTTGACTTGACGTTTCTATTGAAATATTTAAGAGGCGATGAAGACTATTGGAAAATTTGATTTATTTTAATTGTCTCTGTTGTATTTGCTGTGCTCACCTATAATAAATTCTTTGTAGGGCGTCAGCCGTGGTCTCCGTCCTCTCCGCGGCCGCTAGGGCTGCCAGAAGGGCCACGGACGCAACGATTGTAAGAAACTTCATGACGCTACCCACCGATTTGCGAGGCTAACCACCGAATGCCGGTTTGAACGAAGACAACGCGGTTTTATAGTCGATGGGAGCCACGTACGGTCGATGAATTTTGATCAGGGACGTGTGGCTGACTGAAAGGAAAGAAGAAAGCCTCGTTATCTAGGGTGACGATGTTTTCACGGCTTCGCGTTCCGTCCCTGGGGAACGATTTTGGTTTCGACATCCACTCTTACCGCCATTTCCGGTTCTGCACACGATCTCTGCATTGCGGGGGCTCCGCGTCAGTCCAGTTTGCGACACTGCCGATAGAACTCCGACGTTAGGGTCGCGGATTCCGTGGTAAAATTTTGGGAAAAACGCGGAGTCGTTGGCCGCGTGGAAACTAGTCGTGGCGCAGTGAAATTGCTCGCGCGACGATCGTGAGAGAAGAATAGATGAAAGCGAGAATGGTCTATGAAAGGGGAATGACGAGGATCGTTGGAAAATCATTAGAAAGTGATTTTCTATTGAGGATTTTACTCGAGTTTGCATAAATCTTTTCGACTGTGCTTGATCTAGTAACGACCATAATTTTATGCGTATTACTATATTTGTGGGCTTCGTTGAGTCGATAAAATGGATCCCCGCTGCTTTATATTTTTTTGAGAGCTTTGCAAATGCTGACACCTATGTTTCAGATTTTTTAATTTGCAGTCGTAGCAGATTAGAATACAAATATATTGTTAAATGTTACCTGCATATAGTGCTTCGGTCGCTATGGAAGAGGGACAGGCTTTTTCAATTTTCAATCATAGTAATGTTTTTTTTCACATAGTTTATTAAACGGAACAATGATATACATTGAAACTTCGAGGTAGTGTCATCGAAGAATCGTTTCTCTTTGTACAACAAGTAACTTATATACTAATCGACCTGTTACACATAACAAACAATAATTGGGTATGGCACCCGAGAAGGTTTCAATAAATAATTCGTTAAAAATAAATAAATCCTTACATCTAACATTAGGCGCTCTCTCTTTAGAGATTCGTTCGCGTCCATAATAATATACAATGAGCGTAAATTAATTATCGATTGCTTCGAATACGACAGAAGCAACTTCATTCTTAATTTATAGTTCGTCCACGTTCAATTGTACAGAGGTCTTAGAACATTTATACATTTCTATTCCTATATAACAATTAAAAACGCGTAATGCTGCGAACGCCACGTGATCCAGGCTTATCACTTCCTTTACAGAACTCTGGGAAACCACAGGATTCAAACTAGTCTAACGCAGCATTAGATTCATCTCAGTACGACTCTTCTGACAAGGTGTCAATGAAACGCACAATGTTTGACACTTCGTCAGAAAATCTTATTCAACTACTCGAAACAATCGCGAAGTCCCAAACCCAGTCGAGACGAACAAATCGATCCAGAACTGTTTATAAATTTAATATCTTCCTGTCCAAGTCCCAACCCATCGAGTCCTCGATACAAATAAATAAATCGACTATAGGATTTCATAACAAGAAAATCATCGTCATCGTTCTCTGTACAAAAATACATTACTCGAAGGGAGAATCATCTTCTACCTATACCACTAAACGAATTGTACCCACGATCCAACGAATTACGGTTAAATCGAAGAGAAAGATTTCGTCCTTCTCATTCGATTTAATGCTCCTCGTGCAAGAAACTTTTAAGGAACAAATAAAACAACCACGGTCGTAGCGATAGAGAATTCTAATAAAATGCCCGTTACAGCATTTCGGTACGCTGTGCACGAAATAATCTACGATCCTACGGTCGGAGGAATTTCGTTCGTCGTTTTTGAGTAGCAATTCGGTGTTCGTGGGTCTCCTGCATCGACTGCGCGATCACGTTTTGCGGAATCTACCGCTTAAACCGCGTTGGAAACTTCAAAACATCGAAACATCGATGCGTGACGCGCTGGAGACTTCAATGCTCGACGCGCTGGAGATTTCAACGCGTGGTTAAGCTGGAGACTTCAACGCATGGCGTGTCGTCACGGGTCTCCAACGACACTCTATTAACCGGCGACAAGAAACGACATCAGATTTACTCGGTGTTTATGTGACACGGGTACATTCGCAGGCAATCGCCACCATCTTGACCCAATCTTGCCGCGCTGAGGTATCTGTGAAACTTCTGGCTGGACGGGCTCTCGGTTCCTGTTCGTTTCAGCTCCTGCGGGTCCCTGGGAAAAAAAATAGAAACTCGTTGATCGAACTCTCTGACACAGTCCCGCATCGAGAAATCGGCGATCGTCCTACAACGCGAAGGTTTGCGTGTCGCTGACATTCGTGTCGTTCGGCGAGTCAACGGGTCTCGCTAACAGGACGATTATTCCGTATATATTAACGAGGTCTCGCGAGAGCGTTAGTTTTCTGGCGGAACTAACGATTTCACGTTTCTAGACGGAGCAATTTCCTTCGTCGCTGGTTCGCAATCGTGCCCATTGTTGTGAACGATCGCGAGCAGCGGGAAAAACGAGACGGGTCCGCCTGGAACGCGATTCGACGTTCCGATTCGAGTGATTCGGGGCGGTGGCCACCTTTCTCTTTGCAAATCGACGCCCGCGATCGACGAAAATCAAGTTCACCGTGCGTACGTCATTGAATTGTGACAAAATTGATTCCCGATCGGTCGCGGGAGGATTAACATTTTTGAAAGGCGGCCAACGATGGCTAAACGCTTCCAAAGGTTTCCTTTCTCCTTTCTACTGAACGGCCGCAACAGTTCCCGCGATACGGCTATGCTCGAGATCTGATTTTTATTGGAAAGTGTATCGTTTCATCACCATTCTACTCTTCCCAAGATATTAATAACGTGTTTCTCGAGATACGCAAGATAACTATCTAATTAATTATACTATCGGTACGAAATTTTCTGACAAATGAAATACTCAATAATTATAATGTTGTAATTATAATGCCGTCTAACTTTCTCTAAAATCTAATTCTCCGCATATCACTGAACGAAGAGCCCCCCGATACTTCCTTGAATCTCCAGAATTGCACAGAAACGGAATCTCTTAATTATTTCGCGTACAGTAATTAGATATCCACCGCGGTCCGTTCCACGAGCAATTTCACGACCTATTAGTCCGCTGATTGCTTTCCGGCCGCCATTTTAATCCCTACCTGGAGAGTTCGTTCGACACGAGGTTACTGTGCGGCGAGTAGACGGTTGGGTTCTTGTACATACTGCAGACCAGCCTCTCTTTGCACAATTCCTCGAAGAATCTCAGCTGCTTGAAGATGTCCTCCAACCGGCCGACTATCGGACCGTAATACTCGTCGTCTTGACCCTGTCGTAGCGTCGCGACGGGCTTCTTCGTCTCCGTTTGCGAGGTCTTCGCGGAAATCTGCCGAAGATTCTGCTGCCCGTGGACGGTGTAGGAATTTTTAACGTTCGCCGCGACTGGCAGCGTCGCTACCACTAGATTTCCAGGGTTCTGAGGAACGTTGATAACAGGTTTAACGATAGGATTGATAACCGGGGTCGGTTGTTGCACCTGTCGTCGATTGTTGTCGACGTACGCCGAGTAGGCCAGATTGTGTGCCGAGATCGGACGCTTTTCTTGAAACGAGGGTGGTATCGGTTGGGCGTTTGGCGCGTATTGGGGTACACCGTACGCTCCGGGGTAGTTGGGCGACGGAAATGGCGCTGGAAGTACTCCTGGAGTACGTATGGGAGCCGTACCAGCGGCCATTGGCTCGTTTTGGTATTCTGGATCCTCGTATGGCTCGATTCCCCACTCTTTCAACTCTTCCATGTCCTTTCGGTATTGAATATGAGGATGCGCGTAGTCGTAAGTGTCCAGCTCATCTTCGTGATGGTGATGGTGGTTGTTGTAGTAGGTGGGCACCGGGACTGGAACCGGAACGTGATGGTGGTGATGGGCTATCTGAAATGGGGACGAGTATTAAAATTGGTGTCACGAGTATCTTATGGTACTCTTGACATTTTGATGTCAATTATACGCGCCGAAAGATGAACGTAATTTATTCGATACGAATTATTTCCGGGCGGTTCGTTCACGTGCATGAGAAGAAATATATTTGCAATGTAAATTGAAAGATTATGGAAAAGATACAAGATGAGATGGAGCAAAATGTGGTCGAAAATAACTTCTGTTGCATAAATTACTTTTATCCTAATATTCTCGCACTTCACAGTTCATATAATCTATATAGTATACGATTAGAATAATTTTGTAATCTTCGAAGATTGTCCTAGAGTAAGAAAGTTATCCCTTCCTAGAGCTGCTCTTACCGTGATAAATGAATCTCACTCTCTTTCACTATCCCCTCCCCCCACTCTTCTCTCTAGTATTTACGAAAACAAGATTTCGGGCCTAAAGCTCTGACAACTCCCATTCATTAATCTCGACAACGAGACACCCTGTACATTTCCACGCAACGTTCAAAGGTCGCGGTGTCGATGCCGAAGTAAAGATCATCGTAACCATTACCTGATGGTGATGGTGATGGTACTTGGTGGAATGCGCGGTGTAATAGCTCGAGCAGAGCTTGAACACGTGCGCGAACGCGGGTATGAAGAACAGCAGCAGCTTGAGGAACAGCTTCTTGGCGGTCCCGACGCCGAACAGAAACGGGATCACGAACATGAACTTCAGCTTGATCAGCTTGATGATGAGCAGCAGCGCCAGGAAGCTCGTGAGCAGCTTGTTCTGTATGAACTTCCCTAAAACACCAAAACGCGAGTTAGAACACCGACGACAACGTCCGTTCCGTTGTTCAAGACCGTACTTAGTTTCTTGAAGATCCTCCCCTCGGTCTGCAAGCCCCGCTGGCCGAAATCCACCCTGATCAGGGCGCCGTTTTCGTCGATCTCGCGCGGGCTGATCTTCACCGCGGCGCCATTGAAGTAGAATTCGGGCAACTGGATCTCGTAGTCCCTGGTCGCGAGGAATTTCAACGCCCTCCTCCGCAGAGCGCTGGTCACTTCCTCCAAAGGTGACTGCTCTTCCTCGAACTCTCTGCCCTCCTCCTCTGCCCCCTCCTCTTCACTTTCCTCTTCGCGACAGTCGTCCCGGCTGGAGTCTTCCACGAGGTTCTCGTCCAACGGGTCCGGGTCCTTTCTGCGGCACGTACCGTAGTCCAGGTTGTTCTTCGTCAGGGTCAGGCCGTCAAAAACCGTGACGTTGTCCCGTTCCTCGAACACGTTGTCCAGGTACGAGTACGCGTTCTTCTGTATACAGGAGAACGTCACGGACCTGTCGCAGTCCCTGAACAGTCCGCTCCAGAGCTCGTTGCCAGTCTCGTTCGCTATCAGACCGTCCACGTGGAAGTACCTCGCGTACGATCTGATGTTCTTGAAGGTGAAGAAGCTCCCTCGAGCCACGGACAAGCACACCAACAACACCACCGTCCTCGCGTGCATTCTCGACGAGAGCCGCATATCGTTAAGTTCGTTCCCAGCTCTTTAGTCTGTTCCTAACGCGTCTGTCCACTACGATGCACTTTCGACGTACCCCGTAGCACTCATCCACGTGCACCCTTGTACACAACCGATAATAACGCCCCCTCCAAATTCGACCTCGTAGCGTGGAGCGTCGAAGCGTAGATAGAGATCCTCGAACTGGCACAGTTCCGTTGGGTCGCAGACACCCAGACCGACTCCTTCGACATGTCCGTCACCTGGGGCGCATGTCACGTCGTCGCCGACCGGCTCAACGTGCCTTTTCTCTCTCGCGAGACGCGCTCCGTTCGATCTCCCGCTCAAAACTAACCACGAGCTCCTCCGTTCCCGGTTACAATTCACCCGGAGCGTCAAGTGTGTCAAAGGCCCTCCTACTCCGTCTGCCGGCCGCTCCGTGGAAGGTCATTATCGTCTCCTCTGCGGCTGCAACCGGCCGTGCCTCGGGTTACACGCACGCGTGCCTACGAAGGCGTTCACCGAGGGATTTCGGTGTTTGTATGCACCGCGACGCGTTTCAGCAGCCTCGTTGGCTCCGCTCGCGGTGAAAGCGGATGGAAACGCTGACCATCGGCTCTCCGCTCTGCCCCGCGAACCGTACAGGCTGCACCAGGTGTTTTGGTTTCGATTATTTTGCTCGAGCGTTCAGCGTTCGGGCGCGATCCGGTTGCACGATGTCTGGAGAACGGATGTCGAAGACTCTCCAACCCTTAGGACTAATTTTTAATCCTTTCGAGGATAGATTCACGGTCATTAATTGCACATATTTTTATTCAAACCCTTCGTATTCACGGTTACATTAAAACACAATTTTTATTTTAGTTGGAATATATTATATGGAATTGCTAGGAAGTAATATTTGATTGCTTAATATTAGAGACTATGAACCAAGATTCTTCGACTCTTTTTGATATAACACAACGCGTGCATCAAGACCGTAATTTATTAACCGACAACAGTAATTAAACACAATTTCCAGCACGCAGATCCATGATCTGCCTGCCATCGTTCTGAAAGTAATTGCATTCCTCCGCAACACCATGCTGGGTCTTCTGGATACAAAAAGTATGCACATCCATCTTTAATGATATTATTGATCGATCATTTCCCTCTCGAAAGGAGTTCTCTATTGCTATTCTCTATTGCTAAAGATGAACTGATGATTTCTTTGTAGTTTTATCTACGATGCAATATTTCAGATCGATGCTTTTATACTGCGTTGTTTAGAGTGCTTAATAATTTGGATTTCAATGAAATTCAGAAACGAATGACAGCGACAGTGTGGTAATACTTTTAGCTTGGGAACGGTGCTACGACATTCCACGCGTTGAAATCACCCGAGTGGCACTTCTATCGCTTCTACTACCGGGAAACAAGTCATATTATACAGACTTTATTTGTCATGTTGACCCTGCCAATTGAATATAATTTTTTTTAATGATGTACGTATTTTTATCAACTTCTGTCATGGTTCCATTTGATTTTTCAAGCCACCTGGAAGTTCTTCCTTAATATATCCATACTTTCTCATTACATCTTCCTATCTCCATGTAATTTCCATTAATTAATCTCTGTACTATCTTACATTCAAGCTAAAAATCATTTATCGTATAATAAATAACAAATAGTGTTAATATTACATTGGATTCTCGATCAATACAGATTTCCCGTTGTTTTTTTGCTTCTCAGAACAACATACAGTTCATATTTTTTGTTAGTATAATGAAACAGTATGTTTCTAATATAGAGTATTTCGTGGAAGCATAAATATCATTTCAAATCCTTTTGCGTCACGTTCCAGATCTGTTAGTTTGACTCATCGGTGAAACTTAACCTAGCGGATCTGCTACAAAACGTAAAAGAGTTCGGAAACTTATTTACATTTTCGAGAAATGTTCCGTAAGACCCAAATTCTTCTCGATTATTATTCCCAAGCACTGCTCGTCTACGTTCGTCGACATCTGTGCGATGGTTGAGGTTTTTTTAAATAATGCTTCAATTATTGGCGAAGATTGGATCTTAAGGAAGAGGTAGAGCGATAAAATGGACGCATTGTCGTCTGCGGTGCAGTTGGTCGCTTCGCAAGAAACGTTTTTCCGCGTGGAACGGAGCCATCGAATTGGCAGACCGCTGCAAGACGCTGCTTACGAGCCGTCAGACCGGTCCGATACGATCTAGCAAGTGATCCAGATCGATTATCTCTGGATTAGTGCAACGAGTAAACGTCTAAGAATTTACTCGGTGAATGCGAAAATGGGTCGTCATCGACTTTCGACGGAACTGCCCGACGGATCGCGATAAGGAGGGGAAAAAAGATTAAAAAAGTGGAACGCGAGAGTGAAATTCGGAACGCATAGTGAAAAACGACGAACGGAAGCGGCTCTAGGCAAAGAAGACCCGTCGCGAAGAATATTAAGTAACTTTATCTAGTCGTAACTTCTCGTATTCAGGTTAATTATCGCGAAGTACGTAACGAAGTCGAAGAGATTTCAACCCGATCTTCGGCCAATTCGAGTGTACAAAAAAGCAGTTATGGCAACGCACCGCGCCTTTATCTGGAGCAGCATCGAGGATCGATAGTGGCGTTCTTCTTCCGACCAGAAATAAATTCTCTATCCTCGTCGATGATCATTCTGTTACTATAGATGAAGTATTGACTCGTGGATAAAAAGGTGTTCTTGTACAGTCTTAAGTAACATGTGCTTGAGGATCCTCGTTCTAAAAATAACTAAACGTATCCACGTTTATTTGGTATTCGAGCAATTCTGTCTGTTCTGAATGGAGGTGTACGAGATTAGGATGAAAATGAGGTCCTTCCTCGTATTTATTCAAACAACGTTGTACAAAACGTTTTCGGCTCTCTATGAAGTCCCCTTCGAATTCGAGTATATAAATAGCCTCTAGTAGGCAATGTTGTGCATAGTATATCGTCTAAGACTTAGCAATTTCTTCCCAAAATTACAGTTACAGATGAGACTGAATTGTAACAAAAGTCTTCGGGTTTAATATGAAAATATAAGCTTCGTAATTGAAAGAAGTGACTATGTACAGCGTTTCTAGTGCCACCGGAAATTCCTTTCTAGATAAAGTTTAAAGTACACGTTTCCCTCGTGACCTTTTGACCAGATTAAGTGAAGTTGTCCAGCGAGTCCTGGCACGTCTTCGACTTCGACAAGATAAGGAAGTCGTAACAGGCGTCGTAAATGTCGTTCTGCAACGAATTCTCGGGCACCTCCGCCTCGGGGGGTTTCACTAATAGATCGTTGGTGAAGGTGTTCCCATTATCCGGACTGGCAACTCCGGCGCGTTACATTGGCAACCTACATACGACTCGTCGGGTAAGCGTTGTTTCCAGCTGCCGATCGTCTCGCCGATCGTCAGGGAGAAATGGTTTCAATGTCGTTTGATCATTGATGGGAAAATTCGACCTTGAAGTTTGTGTTTTTCGCGTAACACTAGTCAACGGCTGTCGTAACACTTTACATACAAAGTAACAAGTTCTGTTCCAGAGCGGAAGTTACTCTGATTGATATACGCGGTACTACTTTTACTCACTACAAATCGTTCAACTTCATTAAAATACTATTGAAGGAGCCTAAACGAAGCATTCATTCTTCCAAATAATTTTTATAAACGTTAGTCTTAGATTTCCATGAAATTAAATTCAATAATAATTTGCAACCTGACCAGCAATATAACTCGTCCCTAGTTTTTTCATAAATATTCAATTGGTCCACACCCTCCTTGCCATTGTCAACGTCTCAATTACGCAAAGAAAAAAAGGGTATCTGTCGTACGTCGAATAGAATGATAATAGGCAACGGCGAGGTGCAACCGTGATTGTAAATCTAACCTAAAAATCGTCGAATAATTACGAGCGGAACCGTTCGACGCGGATACGGAGAGGTGACATGGTTCGACGTCATCAAAGTCGATGATTTACCGCTCCATTGACAGGTTCCCCGGGAAAGAATCGGGCGGGTCGAGGCTCGGCGCCAAACAGGGGCCCGTTCGAATGAATTCCATTGACCTACTATCGGCCTGACCGATGGGTAGGCAGGTAGGTTAAGGCCCGAAGCTAGCTCGCTGACCGTTCGACCGCCGAAAAGCGATCGCGTGGAGCCGGCCGTTCGCGGGAACGAAATTTCATCCGCTAGCCTCATGTGCATCTCTTCCGTAGCCATTTCTCTTTTCGCCGTGGCGGTCGATACCCATGGCGGAACAACGGGCCCGTTCCGTTCCGCTCCGAGGCAGCCTAGATACGAGATTAGGCGTTCCTCGATACACGAAGATCCGCTGCAGATGCCACGCGTCTTTGTTTCCTCGTTCAAATTGTCTCCAGTATTCAAAATCGTCGTTTTTAGAACGATTTTTTAAAAATATTTTCACGTTCCTCAAGAACGCAGTTAAATTTCTGTATTATTATGTTTTTTATTATTTAAATAATAGTAGAGTCTCCTCTCTAAACGAAGCAAAAACATTTTGACTATTATTCGGGCTATTAACAAGAGATTATCGTAGATATTGAAGTAGCTCTCGTATTAAAATTAGCGAAATACTTTCCAACTTTTTGTGCGCTGAAAGTGCCTTATTTGTAGCTCGAAACATAATAACCGCGAAAGGAACCTACTTAGAGACCAAACATTCGGACTTATCTTTTTATCAAAAACAAATTCCTGAGCTGTTTCTTTCAAAGAATTAAAAGTTGTCTCTTTTGTCTATACACTTTTATTTTCTGGAATTAATCTGAGGTCCAAGAAACAAGCGACGTCTAGAGATAATCATCAAATTTTTCGAGGAAAAATAAAACTATAAAATTACCCACTCCTGCACCCATAAACAGGACTATACTCTTCTTAACTCGGGACTAATCTTCCAATCTTTGGACCTGGATTTTTAGTTAATCTCAGAATTCGTTTGACCCCTTTAAACTGGGACTCATCGAATCTATACATATTTGGTCC